GGGGGGGGCAGATGGGGGGGAAACCAGCAGCGAGGAGGGGGGTGTCTACCAGTGTGATTCCCCTGCACACCTTTGGCAGTTCAAATTCTCCTCCTTTGCTGGTGCCCTGCAGCTTAAAATAGGGCAGGATGGAAGCTGATTTCTCTCCGAGCTGTATGGGGGATTAGCGCCCCTCCCCCCCAAAAATATGCATGCTCTCCCCTCATCTTCCTCCCCTCCAGTCTCTCTCACCAGTCTCTAATCCCTTTGCAGGACATTGTCCCTCTAGCACCCCCCCCAACTCCATTCCCTCCTCCCTTTTCTGGCATTTGCAACCATTCGTGTTTTTTTTGCCTTGGGTTTAATCCTCCATCCAGGTTTGGCTAGCATCCCTATTTAAACAATTGTTTTGAAACATTTTCCTTCTCTCTGTTTCTTTCTTTCTTTCTTTCTTTTTTAATATCCTAGTATTAGAAAAAGGCAAAGGGCTGGAGTCAGAAAAGGACACGCATCTCTTCCTTGTTGGTGGTTAGGTTGTACAATTAGGGTGGCACACATTTTTGTGGGACCCGAATAGCTAAAACAATCTATACTTCACTAGACATGTATTCCGAAAGCCATTAATTAAAATTTGGGCTGATATTAGAAGAAATTATTATACCAAAATGCCGAGGTGGTTTTCAACGATGGAGGCAGTGTTCCGCTAAAATATGATGGATAGCAGAAAAAAACTGAAATACCACCAAATATTAGATGAAAAGGGAAAAATTAAAACGATACAGGAACTAGAAGCACAAGGGATAGTCGTTGATAATTGGTCATATTTCCAAGTCAAATTGTGATATAATAAAGACGTAGAGGAATATGGAATTTAAGTAAAAGATACACATTTAGACAAAATGCTCTCAAGTCCTGAGAAAAAGTTGATCTCTAAACTATATAATTATTTATTAGAACATGAAATGGCTGAGAGAATTGTGAAAGGACGTATGCTAGCTTGGGGGGAAAAAAACGGTTATAGTATAGAGCTGGATGACTGGGAAGAAATCTGGCAAAAAAAATCCTATATTAACTAAATCAGTAGCACATAAGGAGAATCTGTATAAAATGATGTACAGATGGCATCTGGCACCCTCCAAATTGGCCAACGTATTTCCAACAACAAACCCATGCTGTTGGAAGTGTAAAGGGAAATTTGGTACCTATTTTCATTTATGGTGGACTTCTCCTGAGATAAAGAAATATTGGTTAAAATAAAGGAGTGGGTAGAAGAAATCATAGAGTGTGGACTGGAGTGGAAAGTGGAACTGTCCCTGTTGGGAATGATTAAAGGGGATTATACCCCTGAAGTAAGATATCTGACCATCCACTTATTAACAGCGGCACGGATCTCATTAGCACAATATTGGAAGAATCCAAACGTACCACCGATACATGTTGCTATTCAAAAAATGTACGAGTGTGCCCAATTGGAGAGGCTCGCACTCAAAATTAATGGGAAGGAGGACACATATTATTATAGGATATGGGATAAATGGTACAGCTGGGTAGATTGTAAAGGAAAAACACATAAATGAACCCAAGAAACAAATTATATTCAGCTGCCTATATGAAATGTATAAGAATAACAAATGTGTGAAATCTTCTTTTCTCCTATATTATTATTGTCATTATATATTCACTATATCTTTTTATTTAAAAAATTATGAACGTAATATTCATTAATAAATAGTTATAAACCAAGGAGAAGATTAGTAGAGTATTGTGAGTTATTTAGTGATTAAAATGTGATAGTAAACGGAAATGTGAAAAGTATCAGTAATGACTGTTAGGACGTATCAAATTCGATATCAAATGTAAAGAGGAATGTGTTATGTTTACACTATTGGTTTTGAAATTTTTTAAATTTCTATGTTTTTAATTCTTGTAAATAAAGTGTAAAAAAAGAAAAGAAAAGAAAAAGGCAAAGGGCTGGAGGCAGAAAAGGACATGTATCTCTTCCTTGTTGGCGGTTAGGTTGTTTTGCAATCTGGACCTCCCCAAACAGTATTGTATAAAGAAAGAGGATGCGGGGAACCATCCAATCCGCTTCCTGGTTTGGCTACCCTTGCAACTTTTAATGCCACGTTGGCATACCTGGGAGCTGCTGTGACAATTTTGTCCAGTCCCTCTCAGATGAAAAGAGGAAGGTGGTCCTTCTGATATCCCAGCTCTAAAAGTGTTGGGTTAGCTTGGAATTGATGAGAACGTTGGCCATTAGGACAAGTGAGAACAATCGACCAATGGAACAGTTTGCCTGCAGAAGTTGTGGGAACTTCATCACTGGAAACACGGCTAGTCTAGCGAAGAGAAGGACCAGGGGAGACATGAGGGCAATGTTCTAATATTTGAGGGGCTGCCCCAGAGAGGAGGAAGGGGGTCAAGCTATTTTCCAAGACACCCAAAGGCCAGATAAGGAATAATGGGTGGAAACAAGGAGAGATCCCGCGGAGAACTAAAGATAAATTTTCTGACAGTGAGAGCAATCCACTGATGGTAGAAAAGTTGCTTTTGGAAGTTGTGGGAGCTTCATCACTGGAGGCTTTCAAGAAGAGACTGGACTCCCATCGGTCAGAAATGGTGTAGGGTCTCCTGCTTGGGTGGAGGGTTGGGCTGGATGGCCTACAAGGTTAGGTTAATCCAACTCTGTTAATCTGTTAAATTAAACCAGTGTGGAATTTTTTTTACAAAGGACAGTATAAGAAATTACTGTCCTTTCTGGCTGTTTCCTTTCCTGCCAACCAGTCTAGATCCTCTCCTCCAGCCATGCCCACTGTGGACTTTAACTCCCAGAATTCCCCAGCCATTCCCCAACTGTCTACAAGCCTTAAAAGTTGCCAAGGTTGGACACCCCTGGCTTAAATGACAGTGCTTTCTCCTTCCATCTTCAAAATGAGCAAGTGGAAGGAAGATGGTGAGCATAACCTTTCCACAAGGCCTCCTTGCTGTTATATATCAGTTCTGATTCTTGTCATGCAACCCTTTTTAAAATAGAAGCAATTGGGGTACTTTATTGGTGATTGATGGGGTGTGAATCACTTCTCAGAACAAGATGTGATGTAGTACAATAAATTGGAGCATATGCAATTATCCAGAAGAACAGATAAGCCTCTTCTGAAATCAAGAACTGTTTGTCTTATTTAGTCTCCCTTTTCCATACTCTTTGAAATCTAGATTAAAGCTATTTAAACAATTAAAGCTATTTCTTGCACAAAAAAAGAGAGGGATTTGACTGCAATCTACCGACAAAGAAAATGTATGTTAGTATAGCTAGTGTCCAGTAAGCAGGTGCCTTTCCCTTGCTAAGACATAAGATGTTATTTGCAATTTATTTATCTATTAAAACTTCGATGTGCTACATTCACCTAAACAAGGATTTAAACCAACTATGGTTCCAATGTCCATATGTTGGAAGCCATATTCCACACTGCCACATAGCCTGGGAGAGTGGAAGGAGTGTGTGATTTCAATTAAGTAGCGCTAGTAGACAAAATAAAATTATTTTGTTAGTCCAAGGTCATTTAGTATGGTGCAGGAGAAAATAAAGATCTTACTTTTGGATGGATCATGATTGGCCCATGTGATGTGATGACAGCCAAGGGGGGATGGATTTCTGGTTTGAAAAATTGTGGAAAGCTGGAAAAAAAATTTAGATTCGGGTTTCCACAGATGTGCCAGGTGCTATGCTGGAACGCTGACACCATACTTGCATGACTATACATACATAGAAACTCCCTTTTTACATCCTTATCATCCCTATTTGGAGTAGAGTCAGGGTGACTGGATGGAGCTGAGCATTTCCTGGCCAGATGCCCTTCCTGACACCAGAGGGAGTTCACAGTATATATTTGTTTCTTTGTGTACTAGGAGATAAACATCTACCGCTAGCTAAGATTGAACTCTCAACCTTCTGAATGGGAGGCGAGCGTCTTCACCATTAGGCCACCCCACTAGCCATGATCACACATACATAATTTCTACCAAATTGAGATGGGGGCCCACCTGCTGTGGTGAGTGGAGTTGGCCATCCGCAACCTTGGAAAGCATCTGAAGAGCCGAACATTAATCTCCGTTTCCTTTGCCTTCTCAACAGAGGAGCAGCTATGGCAGAGAAGACCCTTGACCCCACCTGTGTCTCCATTGCCCTGGAGGACTCGGTCTGCAACGCTAGCTCACAGGATGGCTCCTTCCTGACCACCCACCTGAAGAAGGTGGAGAACCACATCACGGATGCTCAGAGGTTCTCCCATTTGCCCAAGCGGTCAGCTGTGGACCTTGAGTTCACTGACCTGTCGTATTCGGTCCGGGAAGGCTCCTGGTGGCGGAAAAGAGGTAGGATGGCGGTCCCTTGGAGGCGGTTGTTGATCCTTGCAGGTGCCAATCGAAGTTGAAGGACGTTTTTTTCCCCGTGGGCTTTGATGTCTGTAGGCATCTCTGCATGGGTTACAGGAAGCAGAGAGGTAGTTCTCAACTTATGACCATAATTGAACCCATAATTCCATCCGTAAGTTGTGACCATCATAAAGTGGGTCATCATGGAACCGCACTTTATTTTGCAACCTTCTTGAGATGGCCATTAAGTGAGGCCAGTGTTCACTATGGGATGGTTTTTGCCAGAACCTGGAAGCATACGCCAATTTCCAGCAAAAACATTGTGAATCCTGTTCCCAGGACCTCAGGGTCACTGCAAACAGCCACAAATTCAGACTGGTTGTGTAATGGTGTAGAGAAATGGTGTAGGGTCTCCTGCTTGGGCAGGGGATTGCACTAGATGACCTACAAGGTCCCTTCCAACTCTGATTATCTGTTATCTGGTTGCCAAGCACCCAAAAGGGCGGCCATATGGCCTTAGGATAGTGGGGTAGTCAGCAGGACATTGGAAGTTTGAAACGGAGTTGTAAGTCCCATGTTGAGTATCCGTTGTAACTTCAAATGGTTGCTAAGCGGCCCGTCCTAAGTTGAAGGCTACTTATATCCCTGCTGGGACAGCCTTGCTTCTTTGAAGTGGCCTTTTTTGAAGTTCTGCCCCAGCATCCTTAAGCGAGTTCTGATTTTGGTCCACCTAGGCATCTAACCCAGTTAAGGCTGATCATCCCCCAACGTGACCTGGCATCCCAAGACTGCAACTTCTAGTATCCCGAAGGCCAGGGAGGTTTCCATCCATGGAAAGGCTGGTGGAACCCAGAGAGATGACCACAGGCCAAGATATCTGGGGTCCCTTTATTTATTTGTTTATTTACTTCATTTATTTTGTCAAGCATGCACTTGATAATATATATAAGTATAAACATGATTATTAATACATGGAATAGATACGGATAAAAGGGAACATTAAGACAGGAATGGTAGGCACTTATACATGCCCCTTAAAGTCCTCTCAGGAATGGGGCTGAGGTCAACAGTAGACAGTCTGAGGTTAAAAGTTTTGGGGGTTTGGGGAAGAAACCACAAAGTCAAGTATTTCCTGCAATTGAGTTTTGCGTGGTTTACCCTGAGTTTGTATCTATTGTGTGTGTGTGTGTGTGTGTGTGTGTGTGTGATGAACTCTCTACTGCTTGTCATGGAGGCCATACACTCCTGATCCTGATCCTTGACCTTCCTAAGCCGCCTCCTAAAGCCCCCAGATTAAAGCCCCATCCCTTGAGGAAATTAGCGGAGGTAGGTAAGATGCTTCCGGACCCTTAGATGGACAATAACTCAGAGAATTCCCACCTTCTCCTTGCAACTCAACCTCCATCCAACATTCCTCCCAGCAGGGACACTGGAAGCAACAGAGTTGTCACGGAACATGGTCACCACACCTTCTTGTGGTCTGTAGCATCACTGCTGCTGCAATTCCTGAATTCATGTAAGATCTCGGCACAGGAACCGGTAGCAAAAATGGCTACTGATAATCAGCTGAGAAGATAAAGAAGAGGAAAGTGCAGGATCTGCCCTCCCACCCACTGCTGTGCTTCTTTCTTCTTTATCCTCTCAGCTGATAGGTGCTGCAGGCCTCAGCGGGTGTGTGGGAAGCTGCGTGGGCGCACACACAGGCGTGATTACCGAACCGATAGTGGAACACATAGGATCCCACCAGGGATGGGATTCCAATTTTTTAACAACTGGTTCTGTGGGTGTGGCTTAGTTGGTGGGCTTGGTGGTCATGATATTGGCTGGGTGTGGCCAACGAGGAATGTATCTCCTCGCCTGGCCTCTCATGACTGTGGGGATGCTGCAATAGTCATAAGTGTGAAAAACGGTCATAAGTCACTCTTTTCAGTGCCATTGTAACTTTGAATGGTCCCTCCACACAAGCAAAGTACCAGCAAAGGAGGGGAAAAGAAACTCCAGTGAAATTCCAGAGACAGGAAGTCTATTCCTGCCAAGAATGTAATAAGGGTTAACGGAGAGGCAGTTTCTGTAAGCAACACCAGAATGTTTCCTTCCTGCCTTCCTTACGGGATTAGCCCAGTAATTTCTTCTAACAACCAGTTCTCCGAACTGCTTAGAATGTTAACAACCGGTTCTAGTGAATAGGTGCGAACCGGTAGAATCCCACCCCTGGATCTCACTGCTGTCCAGGACTCCTGTCCTATTTCCCTTACTGAACATAGCTGCAATCTCTCTCACATCCTCATAACCCCTGAGGCTGACCTGGCACTATATCCACTCACTAACCCTTGAGGGGCAGCTGCAGGGCCCATGCTCCACAGCCGGCTTTCCTTGCACTCACTGAACCCAAGATCCACCCATAGCAATCGAAACCGCCCAATCTCCCTTCTGTTTTCTCTATTGCCAGCCCACGCAGGCTCTCCCTCCAGGACCAAGCCTCTCCCACTGTGCCTTCAGCCTACAGGGAGGATCCAGGGGAATTCCCAAGGAAGGTGATATCAGTTTTGCACCTTTGCTTCCCAAAGTGTCCCGCTTAATTATGAGCAATAGAGAACAGACCTGGTAGTTGATAACCGAGCTATGCGATTAGAGCAGGTTAGGAAATCAACTTGCCGGATAGGCGAAAAGCACTGTTGTTGAGATTGGCTGTAACAACAGAATTGTGTAAGTCTATGCCTGGGTCCCCTTACATCAGTGGTGAAATGCTACCAGTTCGACCGAACTGCTAGATAAAAAAGCTCCGACGATCAGCTGGGAGGAGAAAGAAGAGAAAAACGCAGGATCAGCCTTCCCACCATCCCCTGTGCTTCTCTGTCCTTTATCCTCTCCACTGATTGGCACGACAGCGCCTCAACTGGTGTTTGGAAAGCGGCACATGTGTGCGTGTTAGTGCGCGATCCCTGAAGTGGTAGGGAAACTGGTGTAATCCCACCACGGCCTTACATGCCAGTAATTCAGGAGGCTTCCTGTCTGGACTACCTTACAAGGCTGACAGATGTTGGTATTATTATTGTCCTGGAGTTCAGCAATCTTGAACCCCCAAAACTGGAGGATCCAATTGGGTCCAGTTTGATTCCTGCAACATTATCCTGGGACACATCTATTTGCTTTCATTCATCACAAAATCTGGGCTTAGAGAAGATGAGATGTTTTGTCAGAAAAGCGATGAAGAGCTGGGATGGGACTCACTGAATTAAGTCACTTAAAAAGTTGGTCCCTAAAGAAAGCTGGGGATCTTGAGATCCCAGGGCTGGGCAGGAGGACAACGGTGGCCTGAATTGCTTTTCATTCCGTTTAGGATTTGAAATGCTTTTCAAAAGACGCGGAGCCCAAACGTCTTTGCGGGAATTCAGCTTGAAACTTGCTGCATGCAGAATACGTGTGCTTCTAAGCCAGGATCTCATTCCTGGTTTGATTGAACATGGGTTCCACTGGCCTCCAAGCCAATGCTAGCAGCTGTGTGATTGAAGATTGATTGATTGATTGATTTCAATGGCTGATACAGTTGCCCAACTCAGAACAGTGACTGGGTGTTGCACAAGATCAAAACAATCAATCATCTCAACCACAAACGCCTGAAGTCAAAACATCAAAACCAACACCTAAGAACACAAACACCAGAACTCGACTAATCTCCTGGCTCAAACATCTGGAAGCACAGTCAACTCTTGTGAGAGATGAACAGATCATCCTGACTTCTGCAAGGCAGGGCTGGATCAGAAAGGCACAACTTCTGGGGTCCGTCAAGAAGGCACCCTTGGGAGGGAGAACGCTGGAGCATGTTAGATCTAGTTGGACAAGCAAGGGGAGACAGGCATTCCCCAAATCCTTTGGCTGTTTCCAACACAGATCCCAGACCTGGATCTAATTCAGATTTCAGGATCCACCCTGGATTGATCACCAGGACCAGAGGTTTAGATATGCAAATTTTGGGCTTTGTGCTGGACTTCTCTCCCACCAGAACGTGTGCACCGGACTGAAATATTTACGTGGTGCCTGGTGGTGTGTGGCTTTTAGTTGTTAATTGGCACATTGATGGCCACGATTAAGTCACACAACATTATCTTGGGACACGGGTTCAGATTCTTTGTCCAAACCCATGCAGCTTCTCAGGGTATGGGTCAAAGAGGGATCTTTCCCAGATGTCTGGACCATTCTTGTGAGCAGAACAAGAGGTTCTTCTCCGGCCCTGTGGTCAGGCCCCTATACCTGAATCCAGGAACTGAAATTCTGAATCGAGAGGTGTGGAAAGTTCTTCCAAAGTCAGCTTGGCACATGCAAAAGACGTATCCTTTGCCCCGTTCCCTGGGAAGAACCCAAGCCTACAACACTTCAGATTCTGAAGAGCAGCAGATGCTGAGAAGAAGATAAATCAAGCTGGCTTCCACCCCCCACCCTCCTCTCTCTCTGAGCTCCCTGGGGATCCTTTTCCTGCGTGGGTGAGAAGCAGAATGGTTCTTCGTATATGAATCGGTGGGCAGAATGCAAGGCAGTTGTGGGAAGTGGCTGCTTTAATTAGTCTCTTTTCAAAGGTGCCAGGTATTAGTGCCCAGAAATAAAAGGAAGAATTGGGACTGCTGGGGGCTTAAGTACTGTTTTGTGAACAATGTGCAAACAATGCACAATGAACAATGTGGAGATCAGCCTTTGCTTCGATTAATGACAGTTATAGTTGTCCCGGTGATTGTGTGATCACATTTTCTGAACAAGTCACCCAGAAAGCCAGATATCCCTTCACAACCAGGTTACTGACTTCCCAGTTGCAATGGTTCAGTTAAAAACCGTGACTGGAAAGCTTGCAAACCAGAGCAAAAGCCACGGAACAAGTGTCTCACTTAAGAATAGAAATGTTGGGCTCCGTTGTTGTCGTACGTTGAGGACTATCCGCACAAATGAAGGAGGAAGAAGTCCTGTGTGTTGTGGCTTTGCCCCGGGGAAAACCCCATCTTGATGAAGTG